CTCATGATGGCTTCCTTGGCTATATCATCCAAAGACCATGCATAAGTTCTTTTTTTTCCAAGGGACAACCTTGTCTGTGTAGGTTAATAGGTAGGCTAAGCAAGGCAGTAGGTAGAAAATCTTATGGCAAGTGAAAACCTGCAAGTTTTTGCAAAATCCATCAGGACTCCTGAAAAACTTGGGATGAGAGCACACAGGCAGCTTTGAAACTTGGGATTTAAAGGGTTAAATGCATAGCATTGGCCTGCATTGAAGAATCATGCCTCCCCTGAAAGGAAATATCATGGGCCTGAAATTCCTTTTTTCCCCAGCAAAACTCTATGCCATGATAGTGGCAAGAAACCATCAAAGACAAAGACATATAAGGTATGGTTTGAAATTTCAGATAAGTGACCTTGCAATAGAGCTAAGAAAATCATTTATTTCTTTCCCTTCAGTGGAGCAATAAGGATCAGAAAATGCTTCAGGCTTGTTTTGATTCTCTTGATTTCCATTCAATTTCATTCAATAGTGATAATTCCCAAGAAAACTCTTCTCCAACCAGAAATTTCAGGACCTGAAGCTTACCATTCAGTCTCTTTCTTAAACATTGACACATTATGTAATGAAAATTAACTAACTGACAAAAGTGATATTTACAAATTCACAAAGAAATTTTAAGTGCAAAAGTTCATATGAAAGGGTAGGGGGTTTTTGACATACTGCTCTATTCTAAGAGAGATCTGCATGGCAAAATAAGGCTGAGAATCGCTGATGAGAATTAGGCCTATGTTTGCAATTCCCATCCATATATAAAGGTATAGTAATATCTTCAAGAGTCACAGGAGATGAGAGGCACATATGTACCTCAATGATTTTATTCATGTTGTTGAGAAAGATGTCCCCAACACGCTGATAGTCACCCTTAAGGTGGGCATTCCCTCGTCCCTCCCTGCAATGCAGATGAACAGTCAATTTATTTATTGTGAGATAACCTGAGAAAAGAGATGTGGAGAGAAGGCCACATACCAGGTGGCAAGACGGTGTTCAACCTCACGGAGAAGAGCACAGTGAAACTCATATATAGGATCAAGGAGGTGGAAAAGGAGATGCCAAACTCCATCTCCAAGGGGTCCACCTGCCTTACAGATCTCTTCCTGGAACCACTGTCAAAAAAGGAAAAAATTCACTGACATTAAACCAGAAAGTACAAAGACATTGGTTGGCAAAGCTGACCATGACAAAGTGGCAACATACCAGGACAATGACCTCAAGGTCCTTCTTGTATGTTCTCTCTGTCATAAGGATCTCCTTGGCAATGAAATATGCTTTGTCAGTTGGAAAACGCTGAAACATTTGAACACAAACACTTTCATCAATTCAAGTTCAGGTGTGTGTTTCACAAACTTGTTCACAAAAAACCATTAAGTCTTCTGTTTTAAGAAAGGCCAAATATAAAGAGAGACAGTATGAAATTGCATATATGACATCTCACATAAAATTTTTCTTAGAGACATGTCTATGCACATAGTGCAGTAATGTTTCACAATAATTCCATATTTAAAAAAATTGAAACTATAACTGTGATTACTTGCAATTTGACTGCCCTGAAGGGTATCATAAAACATGAGATGGCTGCTATCCCAGCAACTATAATCTGTGCAGCATTATCCAAGATGTGCTCAGGTTACATGGAGTAGTGGAAATCATTTCAATCATTTGATTGATACAATGCCATTATCACCTTCAATGCATATATGACCACACAGCACCCCCTATTAATAGGCACTGCCATCTGGTGGGTATGGAAAATAAACTTTGCAGACCCATCAGCCTCTTTGTCAAATATCAGCTGTACCCATCTATCTTTTCTAGTGTTTTGACCAGAGTTGGGTGGTTCCTTAACAACTCTGTACATGTTGACCCAAAATGATGTAAAAAGCATACAAAAATAAATCCAATCCAGTATTCATGTGCTCAAGGGCAAGGCTGAAGGGCACACATTCAAGGGCAAAGGGAAAGAGTAGCTCCTTCCAGATATCATTATGCATGAATAAAGATTATGAATTTAATCATCAGATGGAAGTAAAGGAACTGATCAACAGAATCCATTACAAAGGCAGTCCAGAATGCATCCTTTAGTTTCCAAAAATGCCCATTTGGCCATTGGTGATGGGAAGACCTAGCCCAGCCTGCAACCCCCCCCCCCCCCCCAGCATCATGGGTGTCCCAGATAGAAAAATAGAAAAAGCTGAAGGGAGGGTGTTCTGCCCATGAAATATGAGGACTAGCATCTGAGGTGTTCATGTTACAAGTGGTACAAATTCACTTGCAAATCACTCTAGTTTAAGTTAGGTTCCACACTTAGGCCTAGTACTCATACTTCCAAGTATTAACAGAGTCTAACTAATGATGGATTGTTGGGAGGATGATAAAACAGGGCACTTGAAATATGGGGAGGCAGCTAGGGTCCATCCACCAAGCCTAAAGGGGACTTGACACAATTGAGGAGAGGCACCAACATTAGGCATACAAAAGGTTTCCATGCAGATGCACAATCAGAACCAAAGCATTGCCTATCATGAAGACCTAACATTCAACCAAAGGTTGTCTGGATGGAGTCAGGACACAATGGAGCTCATCTAGACATGGATTCTTAAATTACATGTTGAAGTTCGTGGGACAGAAAGTACCTTGGCAATCAGTAAACATAAAGGACACTTTACACATAAGTTTACATTAATGGAACACTTGAACTCACTCCTTACCTCCTGCACTTTGAAATATATTTGGATGTATGGCCAAGAAACCTGCACTGAAAAAACAATGCTTTCTCAAGGCAATTTCATGTTCCCGCCTTTCCTCCCAATCGTGCATCAATTAGGATGCATGTAGTCATGAAGTGCTGGTTGTTTTTAGCAAAATGAGCTAATCATCAAGAAAAGGAACACGATACAGAAATAATACATACTTTTCCCATGAAAAAGGAACTAGTTACCAGTTCTGTTACCCTCCCTGAAAAGTAACTTGTTACCAAAAATTTACTGAAAAAAATAGTTACTGTGACAAATTACTTTTACTTCATCACCACCCAAAACTGTGGATAGGAGACCCTTGATTTTACTGGCAAGGATTGAAAATTGTAAAGTTTTGTGGGATCTTCATATTGGTATGAGACCAACACATTATCTGACAGCTTCTTAAGCTTTTGACCAGTTTTTCAAGGATTTCTATATATTTTTGTAATGTTGCCTTTGCTGATTAAATCCAGCATGAACTGGCCAGGATCTTTTCCATTTCAGCAGTGCTTATCCAATCACCCACTACTCTGGTTCAGTTTTTGGCAGGAGTACTTTCAATATCACAATACCCTGTTCCATCCATGTTTCCAATTTTGACATTGCTGGGTACTACTTCTGCTTCTGATTGACAGCACAGTTTGCAGAAAGGCATGAAAGAAGCTAATGCTCTCACATTAAGAGTAGGTTTTTGGGAATAGAGCATGGCATCTGCAAATAATACATTGTTTTGTTTGTTTGTATGCAAAGATCAACAGGGATCAATTCCATCAATAGTGAGCTGTGCATTGTTGGACCTCAGTTCATGCCAAATTTAAACTTGCTAGCTTTATTATGTAGGAAGTTATGCTCTTTTCCTTGGATTGTGCTAAAAAAAAATAAAAAACCTGTATTTCATCAAAAACAAATGGTGTGCAAGAACAAGATGCACAATATTACATCAAAAGCACTTAAGGGGTTAATGACTATTGACTATGAACCCTATATCTCAAATAAATGCAATTGATTTTTAGAACAAAAAAAAAAAGGATTTCTGGCCATGCTGACTTGAACACCAGTGTATATCAATTGGACATTAACCATCGAAAGATAATATTGGCAACATGGCTGATGTTAATGAAAATTTGCAGACATGCATCTAATTTGTTCCCTATTACTGAAAAGCACTCATCAAAATGGTAAAAATGAAATAGCAAAAAACCCAAATATGCAGGCCTCAGAAACTCACTGAGGTCATCTGCAGCAAAAAACTCTTTTCAGAACTTAAGAGAGGTCATCTTCATACCTTTCGTCGGACTTCAGGCTCTTGATCAGATTGAAGGATCTCCTTGTTCACAGGTTCAACAGAAGTCACTGGCATTTGAACAGGTGATGGCATTGGGAGGCCAATCAACCTAGGCCCCACAGGTGAAGATACTATGCCATTCCTGTCATCCTCAGCAATGATCTCATCTTGGCCTGCACAATGACACAAACTTTCATTAATTAAAAGTACAAAACTCATTTGGAAACAAAATCTGAAAAAAATTCAACAGAGAAATAATCCTTATCTTGAACCCAACTAAATCCATGCAGGGGTACATAAGAAGCGAAATGAAACTACCGATGGTGAGCAATGCATTTATTACTAACTCAACTGAGACAATTCAACAAGGGTCAAACAGAAGAGATGACAAAAGCACCATGCATTGCTGGTAGAATGCAACGCAAAAAATGGAACATTGGGGGAGTCATGCAGAGGTCGTCGGAGAAACAATTTCATCCGACTCACCCATTCATGTGCATCGGAGAACCCCTGAACTCCTCCCATTTTTGGCAAATCCTAAGAGAGCTGGAATGAAACACTTTGCTGCCTCAAACAACCTTTATTTTATTTCCAACAAGGGAAAAGGAGGGAAGCTCCCTCCTCGACAAGCACACAGGAAGAAAGTGAGAGAAATGCAAAACAAGAGATCAAACTCCTTCGAGGAGCCCAGGGAATGTTGAGCCGGGGTAGGATTTGGCAACCACCGGAAGACAGGAACAGGGACTGGGAACTACAGTAAAGTAAGAGGAGAAAAAGCACCCAGGAATTCTTCTCCTATGCTCTTGCATGCAAAACAAATACAGTATGGTAACTATGAATGTGTTGCGATCATAATCACCAGAATTGGCAATTCTCATGATAATGAATAGTAATAATACTGAGTCTCTTCAGTTTGAGCAGGAAGGAATGGAGCTTCAATCATCTGGATCAACCATTGCATCCAAATCGATTATCTCCATGACCTCAGTCCCAAAGTGAGCAGGAAGGAATCTTCCATCATTGACTTTCAAAGACATCTCCACTTTGTGCCTTGTGTGTACAGGAGAACCAGGTGGTTCAGGTTGGGGTTCTCCTGATGCTTCTGCTCCCATTGTCTTTGGCTCCACATCCTCCCCTCCCTGATCTTTCTTGCGGGTTAGAGAAGATGTGCGCAAGGGTAATGGAGGTGGCTCTAGGTCACCCAACTCCCCAAGCTCTTCCAATGCTTCCATTGGTGATCCCTCTGAGTCATGAACTGTCTCCTCACTGCTGGAACTGCTCAATGAAGGCAGGAAACCACCCACAGCAATGTTGGTCACTTCTGTCAAAGAAGACTCTGGGAAGGCAGAACTGGGAGGTGAAGGGAAGCTTTCACTGGCTTCAATTGATGTTGATGCACTTATATGTGGTGGAAGTGGAGGTGGAGATTCCAATTCTGATGGAGATGAGATTTCCCCAGTTTGTTCTGGTGGAGGTGGGGGAGGAGGGAGGGGGAAAGACAGTTCTCGACGTGCACCACGTCGTCCTTCAACATCAGAATCCTCCTGTTCACTCAGGTGCTCTGAGATACGAGAGAGGGTTCGTAAGGGGAACAGGCTTAGACCATTCAGTTCTTCTTCTGTGGGAGCCTCTGGGAACTCTGGTTCACTTGGATCATCAAGAACTGTATCAATGGGTTCATAGGATGTTGGAGGAACTGGGGTAGATTCCTCTCGGCTGCTGGAATCATCTGCTTCATCATCCTTGTCATCATCCTTATCCATCATAACAATGGTGTCATCACGATATGAAAAAGAATCTGGCCGAGGGAGATCTGTCTTTGAAAGAACCAATGATGTAGTTCTAATTGGAGATGGCTTTTCATCTGGCTCTGACTCCGAACTGGAAATATATCCTCGGTGCATACCTATAACTCCACTCTCATCATAAGGATCTGCAACCAGACTTTTCTGTCGTCTGATTGGAGGCTTCTTGGTTGTTGGGGAGACAGGAACCGTGCACTCAGCACTCTTGCTCAAAACCAATCTCCGGTGCAGGATGTATGGAACAGCCATGTCCTCCAGGACATCCACCTCAGTATGAATGGGTGACTGAATCAGGTGGTGGTGATGGTGATGAATGCGGTAATGTGATGGAAGAGTGGAGGAGTCTGACTTTGTTCCACGTCCTCCATCATCATCGGAGGATGAAGATGACGTCTCAGGCTTCTTTATTTCACCAAAGTCATAATAGATGCTTGGTGCTGAAGCTCTCAACTGCAAGGGGCTGAATAAGTTCTCAAAGTTGCTACTGCGACCTAGAAGTTCATAGGAATCATGACTTAAGTTATCCTCCATATTATGCAGGGTATCTTCAGGTGACATGCAGTCATCTTGGTAAACTGGGAATGGATTTTGCAAATCAGCCTCCTCTGGCTGAGCCTTATAGATTTCTGAATCACTTTGTGATCGTGGGAGAAGATTTATCGGACGCTCAATCACTGTTGGGTTCTCAATTCTGGAGTTCACTGATGTGGGAGATGAAGAAAGTGAAGTTGACGGACTAGGGGTTGAAGTTGATGCCTGGTGAAGGAGAGCCCGAGGTAGAGAGATGGGAGATGGGATAGGGGGTATAGAAGAGGGGATGCCAGTCCTGGGCTTTCGTGTAGGGACACCCGAGAAGAGTGAGTCAGATTCATCACCTGGTGGAACGCTGGAGCCTGGGTGAGAACGTCGGGGCGAGGATGAGCACTCATCATCGGTAATACGGTCAGTCATGCGCTGGGGGCTGCTTGTCACAGAGGTCTGCTGGGACAGCGTCTCAGCTCGTGAAGTTGCCAGGCTTGGAGTCTCCATGTCGTAGTCACCAGCATCTATGTGGTTTTCTCCTCCCACTCCACCAGATAGCCTACCGAGTCCTTTCGGTGTGCTTGTTCCTAGAATTTCCATCATTTCCATTGCTCAACAAAGAATAATGCATGACAGAAACATGCTGAAGTCATGAAAACATACAAACCAAATCAAAGCATCATAAGATACTCAAGCAGTAATGTGGTTCACATTCATTGGGCATGGTACATAAAATGCCAACAGAGCTACTGCATTGCATATTTTAAAATCTGATATCTCATGCCTCCAAGAGCTTCACAATCAATATTTCCATATGCAAAATGAGCAATGCATTAAATATAGCAAGTAATGGAATTCATAGTCCTTAAGGGATGCTTTAAAGACTCTACCCTGACAGGAACCCAATCTCATATTGGGAGATCATCCTTCAAAGTGTATATACACTCATCAAAAAATGTTTTGCACCATCCCCAGATCTCTACAGGTTCTTGCCACGATGTTTTGGGTTAGGGTAACTTGGGGGAATATGGCCATTGTGGTAATATATCCCTTCACAATGAATTTCCTTACAGACTGAATAATTAGTTTGGGCAAATTAAACAAAATAGTTCTATTGAAGAGTACATGCAATTGTTGAAATGTTTAGAACTGTTCATCGATCCAGTTCTTACTGGAATTCGAGATACATCGATGTCTTGAAAGTCGTATGCATGCAATTCTTTGATTCATAACGCTGAAACTAATATGAGCCTAGAGCAATTTAAGCGTATATTTCCTAATAGCAGCATGGATACAGAAACCATTTCTTAAAAGTTCTTCTATGGTCTCTACAGAATGCTTGTGCAAAGTGCTAACCCCTTCACTTGCAGTTTGCAGACAGTGTTGTCAATTTTGTCATGCAAGCCAATATGGGGGAATATGGCCATCTCGAATTGGGGTAATATGGACACATCATTTCATGTTAGCATTGCACTGACCTAATGATAGTGTCAGCTTCCTTTCATATGGGATCTCAGGCTGCAAAAGATCATCCAATGGACTTCCTCCAGATATATGGATAGATGTACTGGACATCTGGACAAAAAATGCAGTACATGAGGAGGCAGTACATGAGGATATACCCATGCACCTCCCTCCTGGACATCTGCATCATTTGACATTCTCCATAAATTTTTGTTGCAAAAAATTTGAATGCAAGTAAATATCCCTTGTACAAAAAGGGCTTTCTCTGATTTTTTGGGCATTATTTATCAATATATGCAAAAACTACCCAACTTTTTCCTGCAATGTAAGACCTCTTTATTTTACACTCATAGCACATGTTCACTTTAATCTATGCTTGATCACTCCTCTTACACACAGTCTCTAGATACAGTCGCCCAATCACATGCAATGTTACTCAAAAGCAAAAGTGTTGCAATTCTGCTTTCCACAAAGGTTCCTTGAGTCATGTAATGATGTCGACTTCATTGTTTTGTCCTCAGTGCAGTTAGTGTTTCATTTTCAACTGCTGAGAGTCCTTTATTATATTTCAAGGTACTCAGTATATTCCAGCACATTTCACATGTGCCTGGAAAACCTGGAGTTGTTTTTTCAGAAGTGGCCATATTCCCCCAACTATAGGGGTAATATGGCTCTTGGGAACAACTTGAAAAAGATCCAAAGGCGCCATATCCATGGGGTTTTTTGCATATGCCTTGCTGGGACTTAGTAAAGGGAGATATCAATCAATATTTTAGAAACATTTTAAAAGTTAAATTTGACCTTGATGGGCCATGATGACCAGGTTTAATTTAGAAGGGCCAAATTCCACAAAATTACCCTATAACTTTGCTGTCATCAGACATCAAACATAACAAACACATATGGCAACAATATACTATAAGGATTTTTCAAAATGTCCACCATCAGCTGAGATACAGGCTTTTAAACACTTTGGAAAGTTGTCTACAATGGCCATCAGCTGTTCAACCTTAATGTCATCCCAAGTCTTAAGAAAACCCTTATTCAGCGAATCCACCCTGCTGAAATGGTCATGTGCCTAGGAGTCCAGAACTGCTCTCAGGAGCTGTAACTGTGAGCAGGTTGCATTTCCCACAGTTGGTGATGGTGTGGGCTGGGATTTGTGCCATGGGCAAGACTCCTCTGGTTTTTTTGGAAAAAGGGGTGAAGATCAATACAGCCATGTATCAAGACTGCATCCTGAGAGCAGTTGTAGACCCCTGGGCACGTGACCATTTCAGCGAAAATGAATGGACACTGCAACAAGACTGGGCACCCATGCATGGAGCAAAGATGATGATGGAACTCTGCAAAAAACTGTTTCTGAATCTGTGGGGGAAGGATGTCTGATGTTCAAACTCACCAGATCTCACACCTAAGGATTACACCATGTGATCCATTTTGGAGAAGGCCTGCTCAACACCGCACAGCAGTGTGGATTTACTGAAGAAGGGTTTTCTTATGACTTGGGATGACATTAAGGTCAAACAGTTGACTGCCATCACTGACAACTTTCCAAAGCATTTAAAAGCCTGTATCTCAGCTGATGGACATTTTGAAAAATCCTTATAGCATATTTTTGCCATGTGTCTGTTATGTTTGATAAAATTTTGATGGAATTTGAATGAAATACAGCAAAGTTATAACCAAAAATATTGCAGCAAGAACCTGCAGAGATCTGGGGATGGTGCAAAAACTTTTTTTGCTGTGTGTATGTAAAAATATGTACAAAATCCATAGATTACCTGCAAAAAAAATTTCTCTCACTAGAAGGGTGGTGTTTATATGCAAATATGGACTGCAAGTATGCCAAGAATGGATATCACACTGATAAATTCAATTGCATTTAGAGCAAGATTTGATGGTCAGAAAGAGTTACTGATTGCAAAAAATAAGCATGAGCTTGAAGCATGCATCCCATATTAAGAATATGGCAGGCAACAAATTGCAAACAAGGAATTAAAAGGACTTCTTGAAAATGAAGCATGGATAATATGTAGATGTTAGCTCCCTGATATTAAGATTTTCATTATATCCATGATACAATTACATACAAATATATTTTACATAAATGACTTTAAATTGGCTGCACTAAAACTTCTGACAGCAGTACTGCCTTGAGAAAAAATGTCAGAACCAGCAAGCATAACATGAACCTAAGCTAGATCAGCACATCTTGCTTTCTACTCCTATTCTACCTTGTACGTTGCCCACCATCAAGACTAAATAAATGACAAACATATTAAACAGATAGGAGTTTTCCAAGGAGTGAAGATCAAAGGATCAGAGAACCAATTTACATGCAGCATCTATGCAAAAGAGATAATGCTTCATTTGGAATATGTTAAGGGTCAATACATCAAGAAGGAAAACTCCTGAAGTGAAAAGAGAAAGAGTCTGACCAAGGAGGGCTTCAGTGGAGATGGGAAGGAGTGGCTGGGCAGAAAGGCTGGTCCCAACACTGCCTGCAGTCATGTGATGGCCATGGCGTGGCCCTGTGGATTGACGAAAGGACTGAGACCTGGAAATGGAAATTATGTCATCTCATCCACTAGCCAAAAAAGAGTCAGCAAAAGGGAGGCTGTACCTCAAAGTCATCTCACCTCTGAAAAGACTGGCGCTTGATGTAATTCTCACGAACAAATTCCATCACTTCTACCTGGGTCCTTCCACTGTACCTATAAACCCAAATGTCATGCAGTCATAAAGGATGTCATTAGGCATTATGGTACTTCAGAAAGGAGTCCTAATATGTGAGCTATGAATAAAATTTGCCAGTTTGAAAATATTCCTGGGTGTATGCATGCCATCAGAGGAATGGAGAAATGGCCTAAATCCAATGGCAAGGTACCTCATCACATTGACAACTGTCACCACCTGATTAGGGACAAGCACAGTGAAGCCTGTGGGGATCACTGGTAGTCTGAATGTAAAAATTATGAGGCCTGAGTACTTTCACCCAACTGTCATAAGTTTGCTCTTGGGCTTTCTTGAAAAAGGAGTGTCAGTTAACTTATTCATATATTCCCATCTAATAAAATTAAACGTTTCACATTTTTACACTTGACATCTTGAATAAACATGGAAGATTTCTGCAAAGTTTCAAAGTACTTAACCCAAGGCTTAAAATGAAATTATTTCCTCAAGTGGAAGATTCGAAAATCATAGCAAAAATGAATATTTGCAATGGCCCGCACCATGTCACTTTAACATAGTTCAACATGATCAAGTGCAGACCATAGGCAGTCTCTGTGAACATTTTTATTCTCGATACATCTCATTTGTTTTATGGTTGCTTTGTGTTATGCCTACATTTTCAATAAAAAATTCTGTACATAGTTTGCTCATAAGTCTGGTCCTGGAACTTTCTGCTAGGCCCATGTGCATAAGCAACAACAAATAAACATACCTTATGTTTATGCATTCTCTTTTCATGTTATGTTCTTTGCACATAAAAGGCCCTAAATGCACTGAAATGTAGAAGAAATATCTATTTTACATTTGTCTATAGACATTTTCATCTTGAATCTATAATTAACCTTTTATTTAATCATAAGAAACACTGCCAATTCTTTAAGCTGACCTCATCAGGATGCTGCAATAAACTTTGTAAGGCAAAAGTAAGAGACCATGAGATTCTAGAATGTATTAAACAAAACTTTGCAAACAACCTGCTGGTGGGTCATAAGGCCCAGTAGAAAAGAGGCCATACAACCTGCTGGCAGGTTGCATGACTATGAAAGTGTTAACCTCATCTGGATGCATGCAGTTAAAATATCAATATAAACCCAATCAAAACATGCTAAGAGGGTAGTTCAATGACAGGGTCTAATCTTCAGACATATAGACTGACCATACATAACATTGCATGATGATTGATTAGGTTTACTGCAATGATACTTGAACGACATATTACTCAAGTTTAAGAAAAGCCAGACAAATTATAAATGAAGAATGTTATGAAAAGTTCTAATGTAAACTTTTCCCTGGGTGAAAATTATTAGGCCAAAATGTTGGAACCTCCTTTCATTAATGGTCCTTTAGGAATAAATAAGGACTCCAATGGGGGGGGGGGGAAGGAGCTCACCTAAATGAGGTTTGTGCATTTGGGCCTAAATTTTTAAACAAACCTCCATAAATGGAGTAAAATGACACTGTACATGACTTCCTGCCTTTTCTAGAACACCATTTTCTGGTCTCATCATATTGATACAACTTTTTACCTAATACTGTCAACCTCATACATAGATTTGGCTAAGATCATGGATGCTTAATCATCTGCTCAAGATTCTCCTGAAGATAACTGTGTGAGCCAATTCACTCCCTTTATCTCCTTTGAAATTCCTTAGCTTGGTGAAAAGTTGGTCAGATTCATTTCAGAATCTCTTCCTTGCTCATCTAGATAAGTGGATGGTGAGGAACTAGAGCACCAGCCCAGGTACAAATCTGCCATTCCACTGGCCACTTGGCACATTCAGCTGTGACCCAGGCTATGACTTGAGCCATGGCACAAAGCCCTGAATTGGGTGATGATGCAGAAACCAATTCCATGTTAGGGGCTGTGGCCCAATCTAGAAGATTGATTCATTCCATTCAAGTCACCTCTGTGAACATGGTGTCTACCATGGAAGGTGTCCAGCCCAAGTGTATGTACCCAGAAGCACAAAGCATGCAAACAAAGTTGTGAATGACAAGAGGATATCACAATGGCTCTTGCTTTCTTTGGCCTAGCATCTATGAATTTCAGTCTTCTGAATTCATCCATTCAATAATGCTTCAAGAAAATGGCAATTTTGTATTTAACAGTTTTTATTGTTGGGTCAGGTGATCATTATCCTTGAGTGGCACCATGACATAGTGAGCAGGTGGGAGTGCTGAATCACCCAAAAGATGATAAAAGGTGGAAGCTTTAGTGCTCCATTTGCAACGGCCTTCTCATTAGGGCTGTGTCTCTCAATTCTTGCACCATGAACATCACAGAGTGGTGTTTGAACAACTTGAAGAGCATTCTGCACCACTTTGTCATTTTCCATTTCAACTGCTTCTGTTAAGCATTTACTCTACACAAAGGAGCATTTAAACTACACTTAAAAACCTGCTCCCTGTCATACCGGAAAAGTGACCCAATGTGTTCAGAAAGTTCTGCTACTTCCACTGCTACTTCATAGCTATCCAATGCCTTTGAAAAATAACAGCTGGCATTCATACATTGTAGGCCTATATAAATAGTCCCAGAAAAGTCAGGAAAATTCTTGATGGTTTACACGTCAGCATCGTGTGGAGATGGGAGGATAGTACAACATGGAGGATGCCAGTTAGTGCTTTTCATGAGTATGCCTAGCAACCATGTCTGCACTACCACAAGCAGCTACTTTCTCCCATTATCAACTATGTATGAGTCAGCCAAGAGGGCAGGAATGGAAGTGACAGTTTTAGTCTGCAACTGGCACCTTGACTCAAGCTGAAGGCTGAACATGTATATTGAGTCAAGTTCCCAGTTGCTATGGCAAATGCAGACAGCCACATGAAAAAGAAAAAAAGCGAAAAACTGATAACAGTATCTGCCATTTTCCCATTGGTCCTGAAGGGAGTGACAGATAAAAAACAAGTATGTCTGGGGGAGCCAGATAAAGAAATGGGGTTTGTTAGATTGAGACAGAAGGCCACACAAAGGATACACAGGGTGTTCCAAAAGAAACTACCCACTGTTTGTCAGTGTATCTCCTGATCAAATTCACATACAATGATGATTTTTTGTTTGTGTATTCTAGGGTACGGGAAAGTGATTTTTTAAAGGATGGATGGAAGATCTCGGCTGAGGATTGAATAATGGGTACAAATAGCGAAATGACTTGCTAAGTAAGAAAATGCAATAGAAGTGCACCTGCAGTTTCAGAAAACATTTAGTGTCAAACCCCAGAATGGAAAGCCATTGCTCTCTTGTTTTAATGTTTGCTACCCTTGGTGAAGTCCTTACTGTTTGAGAAAGTGACAGATCAAGAAGTGCCTGCAGAGAGGAACAAGACAAGGCAATTTTAGAAACACTCAAAAGAAGCCTAAAAACATCAGTTTCTTGCCTGTCACATGTGCTGCATGTGTCTTAATCAAATGTTTTCTGCAGGCATGGGCTAGAGGATCGGGTTTTGCAAAGTGTCATGTTTGCATGGCCTTGAAAATTGCTTAATCAAACTGAATGGCTCATCCAGTGGTTGACATTCACCAGCATTAAGAGCACTTTGCACAAATTGATCCTTTAGCCCATGCCTCCATCTGAGAGGGCATGAAACAGAATTGGCTAAAATGGTTTAAGGATTATGTCACTCAAAATACACAAAACAAAATGCCCATTTGACTGAGACACTACCAGCATCCTGCAGGTGCACTTCTTTTACATTTTTTTACTTAGCATCAGTGTAAGAAAAATATAAGTTTTTTCTTGCGAACCTGAGGTGACAAATCAGAATTTCCTGGGAAGGATATGCAAGCAGATTGGGCTGGCCCCACCTGCCCGCACATCTCCATTCCTGCAAACCTTGTTTGCAGGGGTTTTCCTAACCTGCTTAGCATGTCATTTCACTATTTGTACCCATTCTTCAATGTTCAGCTGAGATCCTCCAATTATTCATTGCAAAATTACTTTCCCATCATTCTAGAATGTGCAAACAAAAAATCATCATAGTATGTGAATTTGATCAGGAGATATACACAGACAACAGTGGGTAGCTTCTTTTGGAACACCCTGTATATGGAGAGAAGGATACAATCTTAAACTGGAGATAATACAGGAAACATTTACTGAACTACCTCTCAATTCAACTAAACTAATTTCATTATAAATGTTCATAGACGCAGTGTAATGAGAAAATTTTGCATGCTTTAAGCAAGAGATACCGGAATGAAGAGCCACGGGAGATGACACGTGGTTTCTGGCGATGGGACTTTTTGGATGCTGTGCACCGAAAGAACCCATGGTGCTCCACACATTTCTTCCAAAAGTTCTTGCTCTCATTCCTCCCATCAAAATGGAATTCCACCATGTTTTTATACAGACCCTATGGGTAGAATCAGATACCATGTGAATGACAGATCTCATACATTACAGTTAATATGATCAAGATGAATAAAGAGAACAATTGAATGAACCAGACAGGGCCAACCTGAGTGTCTGGATGGAGCTTAAGGAGGAAACGCTTGCGCTTGAAGGAGAGCTTCCGGATCTTGCCCCAATTGAACATGTTGATTCGAGTCCAGTTCTGGAAGATGTGCAAACCCGTGTGGGTGATAGCTAAGTTCAGCGGGATCCCCTCTTGGTCCTGTAAACACATTATCTCCAGCATCTAATACCGACAGGATCACTAGAGCATCTTTCAAGCACTCACCCGAGATGGTGTCATTTTGATCCCATAAAATTCACATCGGCGTGCTGTCTCCAGAAGATTGAGATCAGCCTCTGCTGGGCTTTGACCCCTGAAATAAAGTAATTGAATTGCACTTAATGGTTCAACTGCACATGACACTGATATAGACAGCAAGAGAAGTATGTTCTGGAAACAAGAGTTTGTGAGGTACATAAAATCTTTTGTATCCTGTTCAATTCCCACAGCAGTAAAACAGGGATGTGCAACCTGGAGGCCACAGGCAGCATATGGCCCATGTACCTGCTTTCAGTGGTCCAGTAATGCAAAATGGGATAAATAAATAAGTTCCATTGCAGCCCAAGGCCCATCACTACTTTGGTCATCCCTTAGTAACTAGAAATAGACTGAGTCCTTTCACTTCCTTCCCCTAATTATTCCTCACTTGGATGGTGTTGCAAATGTCCCAAAGAAGGTCCTCAATGATGAGACTATTTTTGGACATTGGAATTCCTAGGAGTGGGGAAGATGTGAGGGTCATCAAATAGCATGACCTTATGCCCTCTTATGTCCTCAAGGCATAAGAGGAGAGCCTTTCCTTTTGCAAACTATGGCCCACCAGAAGAGTCAGACAATTTTATGTAGCCCACTGCCAATAAAGGTTGCACATCCCTGCCATAGAAGAATTAGCATCCTAGATATTTTCTGCATTGAAACTACCTACAGTATTCACATATTGAGACTGCAGCAAAGATGGAAAAAATATATACTGAAATATGTCTTATTAACCTTGAATTTGATGGGGTATACATGGAGTATGAAGACTAAGGCCTCACTCTCCTGCTTCTTACTAGCATACAGGATGTCACATAACCTTTTGAAAAAGGCTAACTAATTCATGAGAGGGCACATTAACTGTGAATTATTCATCAAATTCAAGATTATTCAATTCTGCATTTATCTGCTTAGAATAATTGGCTTAAAAAAATTGCAAGGGGTGCAGGAGATCCGTTCACCAACAGATAATGGATCAATCTGCAGCTGAATGAATCAGTTTGTTAGGTAATCTTTGTTATTCAGTATCATTCATCAGACAAGTCATTTTACCTAAAAAGAAAATAGAGTTCAAGAGATCAATCACTTTCACAATCATAGCAATCCACAATAGAATGAGCTTCAATTTGATGCATATTTTGTAGGTACTATGCTATCCCACTTTCCAGGAACTCCCCTGCATTAGGCACTTCAATAAATGGCAATTTTGCTCAATACAAAAATTTCTCAATACAATCAACAGCAATTTTCATACCTATGGAATACTTTATGCCTCCCAACTTTGTGATGCTACTTAGGGCTAGCAGACATGCATAATTCATGAACATTTTTTCTGCTCCAAGAAATTCTAGCACCTAACTGTACATGTCTGCAGAGTCAGTAACAGAAACCCACACAAGCTTCTTGTGATTCTCCATGATCCGTCTCTCCAACTCTGGAGTTTGATCAGGCACAAACTTGTATCCAGACAAGTAGGAATGATCAGGGTAATCCTCTGCCACATAGTCCCCAGATTCAGCTACAGAAAAAAACTCAACATTTCACATAAAATAAGAAATAGAAGACTTACCCTGATAATGCAGCTTACAATGAAAAAAAAGACACTTGCCCTGAACAATGTAAGAGGCCAACACCGCAGCAGTATTGTCATTGACACGAAGGATTCCCTGTGCCAGATCTCTTTTGATCTGAAGACAAAACAAATATCGGGTGAATTCCTCCTCCAATTGTCCAGGATCAGGGGTGTAGAACTTGACTCCAAAGCGAAACACAGGGTCAGTCGGTAACCCCAACTGGCGATTCATGTGCTTCTCCAAGTCCAACCAATACTATAAATAAGATCTTTGCATGCTTTCTCAAATTGTAACTCTGAACAGTGAAATAAATATGTATATTGGGCTAACCCTTGAGCCTCCAGCATCTTGATATTCCAGCCCAAAATAGTCTGCCTCCAATAAATTCAGCTGTCTACAAAGCTGCTCAAATAGAACTCTTCCCAAAGCTTTGGGCTACAAACAGATTTAAAAGCACATTCAATAAAAGCAATGTAGACCCTACATACCAAAGCATTGAGGAAACCCAACCTACCTGGACTTGAAAGATGGTGAGGGTATCATCCAGCATCTGAACCTTGGCAGCAATCATCTTGCCAGAAGTGTATCCTCGCTTTGGAGTTGCCGGAGGAGTTGGCCTGATAACAGTTGTTCCTTCTCCAGCCATCACAATATTAGCTTGAGTCCTTCAGGCTAGGCTATGACCCATCAGTCTAAACAGGGCCCAATTTCTTCATGGTGCCTTTCAAGCATACCCGTACTCAATATCACGGCCATTCCCCTCCTCCACCCAATATTTGAAGCACTGGCTCAAAATCTCAATTCCATATCACCTTTGTGTAACATTTGCTACTGATAGCAAAAATGCTCAAGAAATAAAGGTGACAGAGAGAATGCTCATCTATTGATTGGTGAATCCCAGGGAGGAAACAAGTCAATTTAATGCCAAAATTGATGACTAAATACAATCAGATCCTATTCAATGCTGTACAGCCTGTGATGGGATGGGCCAATATGCCTACACCTAATTCTAGTCACACAAGGTCTGATCCCTCAGCCCAATCCCACTGGACAATACATACTGTTTCTGCTGATCCACATTGCAATGTTTTGACTTAGCTATGATGTGCAAGAACACCTCGATCAAACAACTGCTACTGATTAGGATCCAGACATCCTAAAGAAGTCACGGAATGTGTCAATGGTCCCTTTCCCCAATTGATTCTCAGCCAAAATCTACATCAACACAATCTGGTCATTAGGAGCTTGCAATAGTACCATTCTGCTGGTGGTTCACTAAGGAAATCTTTCCATTATTACCATGGATTGTGGTTTGTTTACAGATATCCTGTTTATTTAGGCACTGAGTCTGTCTTTCTGTCTTACTTACATCACTCTTTCCAAGTCTGAAGAAAGCACAAAGATACCAAATGACCATTTGAATTCCAGACCAAAAAAACAATAGTTTATAGCACCACCTTCATTATTGGTAGGTCAATTTCTTGGTTCACCAATAAGGTATTTTTATACAACCAATAATAACCTGTACTATTGTTAATCCTAACAGTCCTGTTCTGCTTACAGTTAACCAAATGCAAGTAGTCACCTGGAATCTCAATTGATTAGGATTCCTATTATATATGATATGCACCACACCCACCCCCCTAACCTAACCTGGCCTAACTTAAGGAGAAACACAATATCCCTAGGGGGTACAGTCACCTGGGCAACCCTACACACTGCATAAACTGTGTCCAATGGGCAACTGTAAGCGGAATAGTCCTATGAGTACTATTCTTCTCAGGCCTCAGTGTCTCCAGGATGAACAGGTGAGTTGAAATAGATGAGCACAGCCTCCCATGAGTGCTTTCATTTCTCTAGTTGGTTATTCATCATTTGGAGTGACAAAATTGTGGAGGAATACTCACTCACAAAGACCAACGTCCACCCTTTTAATGCCGTATGAATCAATGACGTCGACTGCGCACAAGTGGCTAACATGCGACGAACCAGGGAGGATTCTAAATAACGTCATACAAAAGTAATACAAGACTTAGATTGTGCATTAGAAATAAGCAATCCGACTTTATAGCGTTTCTCACTTGACTTGGACAAGCATGCATGGGGAACATCCCATGCATGAGTGTCTCGGTCAAGTGAAATATTATCTGACTCAAATGAAAATAAAAAATGCTAGTAAACTCCAGATTTGTACAAAAAAAATAAGAGCTCCAAATGACGCAAAAGAGTCTTTCGATAGACGGAGACACATACCATGTCCTAACCCAAAAGGCCGACAACACCGCAAGAGGGATGTCCTATCTTCCCTGGTGCACATGAGAAACTCGACATATCAGAAGAATAACCTTGCACCGCACTGTGGGTTTGGCTGTTTTTGAACATGGATCTCGGCCTCGAAATTCCACGACGTAACACCCCTGACCCTCCGGTCAACATAGCACTCATAAGTTTGCACCTGCAATGGCCCCCTACATGTCGGTCCTTGGGCATCTTCGATGTCCCCTAGGAAAAATTGGCGCATGCCATTTTTTTTTAATCTATTTTTTCTGCTTTCCGGTGGTCATTTTCAATTAGATTGCAGTTTTCAAATGGATTTGACCATTTTCACTCGATTCCGATATGCACGCGACAGGCTGGGCTGGTCCTAACCTCTTTTAAGTAGGCCTAGGTTTATCTTTAGTTACGTTGGAGGCTTCTCTTCGCAAGCAACAAGGCCTATTCAGGAAGCCTTTAGTGCACCTGTTAAATAAATGTCGGTCAAGTTGCTTGACTTGACCGACATCTGTCTTCCAAAAATTGCCATTTTAGGGCGAGGGAAGACGTTGGTAATGGTAAAGACACGGTCGTGATCGCAGCGAAATCTGTCGTGGAGCCATAATGAAGTATTGGGTGTTAACATAAGTAGTGTCCGTTTTTTTCAAATTTAAAAATGTGTGCCAAAAGTAAAACACATTGGCAAAGGTTATACGTCATTTGAAATAAAATTTTCTGCTCCACAAGATATTGTGTTTGCCTTTAGTTACATTTATTATTTAATTTAATTACAGGTCTTNATCTTCATGAATAAGCTGGTTTAAACGGTCCTCATCGAATTCCACTGGTCGTCCGGAACGCTCCATGTCCTTCAGGTTGAAATTACCGTCTTTGAAACGCGAAAACCATCGACGAGCTGTCCTTTCATTCATAGCATCTTCACCGTACACTGCGCAAATATCGCGAGCAGCTTGAGCAGCTTTATTCCCTTGATTGAACGCGAACAGAAGGAGGTGTCGAAAGTGCTCACTTTTGTCTACTTGACATTCCATTTCGAAGACCTGTAATTAAATTAAATAATAAATGTAACTAAAGGCAAACACAATATCTTGTGGAGCAGAAAATTTTATTTCAAATGACGTATAACCTTTGCCAATGTGTTTTACTTTTGGCACACATTTTTAAATTTGAAAAAAAACGGACACTACTTATGTTAACACCCAATACTTTCCGCTTCCACCATAGAAGCAAACCTCCCTTTCATATCTTGCATGCGTAACGTCAAAAGATGGAGACAGGTGAGATCCAAGCACAGAGTGCTTACGAACGGCTCTGCAGTGAAGTTTCTGGTAAGATGTGTATGACTTCTTGAAGTCGCCTACATCCCAAGTAGCAGTTTTGATCCAAAATAAATCCATTGGACATACCCACTTGGACATCCAATGTATATCCTCTTCGGACATCCACTGGATGACTGTCTCGTCCAAGGATAATCCTTGGACATGTCCATTGAATGGCCTATTGCAGCAGTTCCTAAACTGTGGGTCGCGTACATTTTTCCAGTATAAAAAATCACAACATCCGCATCCGCTCGGGATAAAACATGCCGTGGGGAAAAGGTCGATCAGTTTTCTCACGTCATAATCACATTGAAAAAAACCTCGTTCTGGACTCCGGTGGGTCGCGAAATTTTTGCATGTAAGTGGGTCGCGATTCAAAGAAGTCTGGGAACCGCTGGCCTATTGGATGTCCGTTTTTTTTTTTTATTCATTGGAGATTCCCTATGGGAAAGCAATCGGATGAACATTGAGGCAGGGGCGCAACCAAGGGGGGAGATCAGGAGGTCTGAACTCTCCAACCCCTCCAACCCCTGCTCATAATGATATCCCTCTACTTCTCCATCCCCCGGGGGTGGGGGACGCAGAAAGATATGAGCAAACGACCCGAGAGCGAGGCTGGAAAGGCACAAAGATAGGTGAAAGGTGAAGGTCACGCCAGTTACATGTAGCAACTCACTTTAATAAAGTGAAACTGTCAAGGAAACGTCCGTCACATCCCAAGTAGCAATTTTGTTCCAAAATAAATCCATTGGACATACCCTCATGAACACTTGGACATCTAATGTATATCCTCCTCGGACATCCACTGGATGACTAAATGTCTCGTCCAAGGATAATCTTTGGACATGTCCATTGGATGGCCTATTGGATGTCCATTTTTTTGGATCCATTGGAGATTCCCTATGGGAAAGCTATCGGATTACCGTTGAGGGATGCAGCAATAGCCATCTCCAGGTAATGGAGCAAAATTTGCATGCTAGTTAATATTCGTTGCACGGGAAAGGAGTACTTTTTGAGATTACTAAGTTTCCGACCACACGTTCCTGTGAAGAAACAGAATAAAAGCGGTTAGATTGAAAGTCAGTATTACTGAGAAGTTACTCCCCAAGTAGCCATGGGTGATCCAAAAGTTATCCATGGACAGTCCAGTTGTCCAGGGATGGTCCAGAGTCCAGAGGTGGTCTTCCTTTGGATGTACAAAGGATGCCATCGCCATGGATCGATATCTTCTCGTGCATTCTCAGCTTTATTCGAACAGAATTTCCCAACATCAAAATCTCAATTATTTCAATTTTATCAAATGAAGGTTTTATGGAATGGCGGTATGAGGATCCGACCGTGGGATTTATTTTGTTCTTTTTTTTCCCTTCTAATCTCCCATCTTAGGTCGCAACCCAATAACTTCAATCAATATATAGATAGTGTGACATTATAATTGGACAAGTGTATGATTTCATTTAGATTTCGACAATACGAACGAAACAATGCGTCAGTCCTTCTTTGGGCATCCATTGGACGGCCGGCAATGGAACCTCCAAGTACAACTTCTCATGGTCTTCCATTGGATGTTCTTGGATGGAATCCCCGCCCCGTTGAGGCCTTCCATCTGACCTGACATCTAGCAGTTTATTGAAAGAATATAAAGTTCCCATAATATAAGCGAGGTCGCGCTCATCCCGCCGCTTCATGTCTCCCGATTCCCAAAATGCAAACGAATTGTTCTGCGTAAGCTTTCATCCTCTATTCGATCATTTCCCACGTACAAGCCTAAGTAAGGAAGCCATTCTAATTAATTCATTTGTTGAGAGACATAAGATAGCTCAAGGAGACTCCCGGCAATTCTTGCACATTGCTTGGTGAGTGTGGTTCCCCTTGCCAAGTAGGTCTATTCCTTCCTCATATGAACTATGCCATCTATGGCGATGGAGGAAACAATCTTCTGATTGAGAGATAAGGACTGGAAAGTTTCAGCTCAATAATATTTCACTTTCCATCCAAAGACATCCCCTAGTTCCTCTAAGGAACAAGAGAGGGCGAGATCGTCAATGGGCAGATAATGGTCCTTTCCCACACCATGAATATTCATGAGCATGCATATTATGTTCCATAGCTACCTGGGGATTACTATCGCTGCACCCTTCAATGGTGATCCAAAAGCTTTCCCAAAGGGAATCTCCAATGAAATGGACATCCAATAGGCCATCCAATGGACATGTCCAAGGATTATCCTTGGACGAGACATTTAGTCATCCAGTGGATGTCCGAGAAGGATATACATTGGATGTCCAA